ATCATATCGACTAATTGTTTCCAGATACATTTGATTTTCTTCACTTTTCTTTGATTCAAATGAGGAGACCAATAGTTGCATCTTAGATGGTCCCTCAAAAGCTTTTAAGACCCCAGTTGCTATTCACCAAAGTAGGTTGTAGAACAAGATTTTTATGTACTATGTTGCGCCAGTTAGGCATAATGTCCTCTGAGACTATAGTTCTGACTCATAGACCAGGTGATTCTCTCTCTTAAGGTGTTTGGTTGTCTGTGAGATGTTACTCCAACTCTGTCTTCTGTTGCTTCTGTAATGTATATGGCTAATTTTGTAGCATAAATGCATATGTAAGATTATCTTCAGCCAAATCTATCCTTGGTCTAGGGTTTATTCTTGTTTGCCTACCCCCACCTGATCTTCTCACATGTCTATACATTTATCTGTAGCCTGGTGTTTGGTGTTGGTGGTAATGTACTACTGTCCATATACTAGTATTTGCCTCTATTGCCTATATCTGATGTGTACATTTTATTGTCCTTCCTTTCTCCAGTGTCATCATGCTAGTCACAGTCTCTTTCCATACCATCCTCCCCTCACCCAAATCAGCATGTAATCCCCAGCTAGTCTGAAATTTTCCTTCTCCTTCCCTCCCATCCCTGGTAACCAACAAAGTAAATTTCCATCCCTGAGTAAACCTTTCCTTTACTTTTTACAATAATGGGCTCATACTGTATTTGTCCTGTGATTGACTTATTTCATTCAATATAATGTCCTCCAAATTCATCCATGTTGTGAGTTGATTTGTGTATTCTTCATTATTTTTTAATGTTGCATGCTATTGTGTGAATGTACCATAGTTTGGTTATCCATTCATCTGTCAATGGGCATTTAGGTTGTTTCCATCCCTTTGCTATAGTTAATTGTGCTACTGTGAATATGGGTGTGCATGTATATGTTCGTGTCCTGTCATTTATTTAGGTTGTATTCCTAGTAATGGAATTCTATTTTCTTTCTATTTTCAGTTTTTTAAGGAAACGGCATAACATTTTCCATAATAGTTGTCCCATTTTGCAGTCCCACCAGCAATGTATGAGAGTTCTAATCAGTCTGCAACCTTGCCAGCATTTATTATTATCTGTCTTGTTGAACTTTGCTATTGTTGCTGGGGGAGATGATACCTCATTGTTGTTTTAATTTACACCTCTCTAATGGCTAATGAGTTGGACACTTAACAATAACAATGGCTAATGATCCTGAGCATTTCCTCATGTGTTTGTGGGCTGCCAGTATATCTTCTTTAGTGAAGTGTCTGTTCATATCCTTTTGCTCATTTTTGAAGTGGGTTGTTTGTCTTTTTGGTGGTGGTTTGAATTCCTTCTCAGATAGTTAAATTGCTTGTTCTTCTTCCATGATAGATAGTTCTTTAGCTTTGGCTTTTATTTCTATTGTCTTGTCCTGTTTGTTTGTTTGATTTGAGGTTGTCTGTTGTTTCCTAGACACTTGAAGTTGTTAACTTTAATTGTTAGTTACGTATTGATTTGTTTCACTCTGATTTTGTTTTACTTTATTTGAAAGTGTGAAGCAGGTGTACTTCTATGGTTATTAACTTGATGTTACTGGGTTGCTCTCCAGCTTTCTCTGTGTTGGTGGAATCACTAGTGGGGATGTGGGTGCAGGTCTCTGTTCATCATGAAGGGGATTTGGAATTGGGACAAGCAGGTGTTGTCCACCGTCTGTCATTGATCCTGTGGGAGAGGACCTATTGGTGTTACCTGTCTATTGGGGGATGTGTTCAGTATAATAGTTCTGGTTGAGGTTTAATGTGTTCCTCCTGTTGGACAAGTCAAGGGAGCAAAGGAAGATAGAAAAAGAAGAAAAAAAAGGTGCCAGAAGCGAACTCCAGGATAGAAAGGTGGAAGGAGTTTTCAGCATTTGGGGCAAGATAATTCAGTCAGTAATGCAGGCATGGGCAGGGCAGCCTGGGTCCTTCTGAGGCGTCTGCTGCTGTTGATGCCCTGCTGTCAGTAAAAAACCTGCAGTTCAAAACTGACAGATGCCCCAATGGATAGAGGGCTACCATTTTCTGCTTGGATCGAGAAGCTGTAAAATCACAGTACCCAGGTCCACTCTTTGCCAAAAGGGGTCTTCCAGGAGTTGGATCCAGGCCCACTGCTGAGTACCTACTTTGGGGCTCTGCCTAGTTGAAGGGAGTATCTCCCTTTACCCTACTTCCTTCTGGACTCCTTGGCAGCCCAAGCCAAGGTGGGGTGGGTCTTGTTCCATTTTCCAGTAAGATTATTATATTCACTCAGAGCCCCAGGTCACTTTGAAAAACTCCCGGGTGTGGCTGTTCTGAGTCCCCAGTGCCTGTGGGGTCCTCTTTTTTTTCTTCTTCCTTCCCTCCTCCCTCAACCTCTTTTGTATTTCTAATGACTTCTCTCTGTCTCTGCTGGCTGGGCTGGTTCGTTTATTTTTCAGTTGTTTGCTCTCTTTCTTTGCCTTCACTGAATCTAATACTTCATTTTCTCCTTAGTTCCTCATAATTCTAGTATCATTATTTGTATCTGCTGTACCTAGTTACTCAGAGTCTCAGTTGGAAGAGGGATTAAACCATAGGTTATCTGTATGATTCCATTTTCGTTCCAGCCCAAGGCTATAAATCTTTATAGAAGCAGACTGCCTCATTTTTCTTCTGTAGAGTGGCTGGTGGGTTCAAACCATCGCCCTTTTGGTTAGCAGCCAAATATCTTAATCACTACACCACCAGAAGGAGCTCTGGTAGCATAGTGCCTAAGGCATTTGACTGCTAACCAGAAGGCTCGTGGTTCAAACCTACCAGCCACTCTTTGGAAGGAAGATTTAGCAATCTCTTTCCGTAGTGATACTGCCTCGGAAACACAAGGAGGGGTTGATAAATGATTTGGATCCGACTCGACGACAGTGAGAGTTTTACACTACCAGAGCTCCATATATATATTTATAGATTTATCTCAAAGAAATGGCTCAGATAGTTGTAGAGGCTGGCAGATCCCAAGTCTATGGATAAGATGTTATGCTGAAGGCTTCTCCAGTTTCACATAGCTGCAGGGGCTGATGAATCCAATATTGGCAGGTCAGACATTTTTTTTTGCTGGCTCATAGGCTGCAGAGGCTAATGAATCTCAAGGTTGGCAGGTGATAGGGCAGGCCTCAGGGAGCTCTGGTGGCGTAGTGTCTAAGGCACTTGACTGCTAACCACAAGGTTGGCGGTTCAAACCCACCAGCTACTCTTCGGAAGGAAGATTGAGGGATCAACTTCCATAGTGATACCACCTCAGAAACCCAAGGAGGAGTCGCTGTGAGTTGGAGACTACTCGACGGCACATAACGGTTCTTTGGTTCAAGACCAAAGGACTAGAGGTCAGATGATGATGATCCACTTGCAGTCCCTAAATTGAGTAAAAAGCCTGAGAGCTTTGCCAGAATGTCCATATGTATTGAATGCAGATCACACTCACGAGGAAACTCTATTTCAGCTGATTAGTTACTCCTAGCAGATCTCATCATGGAGGTGATTACATTATGTCAGATCTTGTCATGGGAGATGACTACATCATAACTGCCAAGCCACTGAGAACCATGGCCCAGCCAGGTTGACATACAACTTTAACCATCACAAGTGGTAAGATTGCATTCTGTCAAAGGTGGAAAACTCTCGAGCCCCGGAAAAACGGGGCAGTCCCATTGAGTTACGACTCTCACAGGTTTTCACCATAACAGGTTTCACTTTTTAGTTTATGGTTTTCTTTTGGTTTGGATTTTATCCATGCTTGCTCATCAGCTCATATTCTAGAGTGGACCTCATCACCAGTCGGTTTTAGATTGGTTTTTCATTAACAGCCCATGTAATTTTTCTCCAAGAGGCTGTTGCAGCCCTGAGCACCTAGAGGGTAACTTTAATGTGAACACATTTGCTGCAGGGAACTTCTACAGGCACTTACTGGACATTGTATTCATGTCCATGGGGTTTTCTGTCCTGGTGCATAAGTGTGAGAGTTACTGGTTACTGAGAGCTACTGTTATATTGTCTGGGAGTGTCAAGATCTACTTTCTCAGACTGTACACATTTTTATTTTAGGTCATTTTTGCTTACACCATGTAGTTTTTTGGCAAGAGTAGTTTGTGTTTATTTAAAGTGGGTATTTGTACTAGTGGATCGGTCAGTTGGATGTGGACTTGACCTCTGGGGCAGATAAAAGTGTCCCTTTCTGCACTTGCAGCCAGTTCACTTGTACGTTCACTGAAAGGAAGGGAAAGCACGAAGAGAATGGGCAGGCAGCATCTCTGTGGGGTGATTTGGAACTTTCATACACCCTTATGCCCACCTCCACAGCCAAGACTTCATCTCATGGCTTCCACACCTCATTGCAAGGGAGATTGGAGTCAGTCTTGCATGTGCTGGGGCAGCCAGCTGCATTTGGGTCCATTGTGCAGGGAGGATTCCCACCTCACCAGTAATAAGCAACCCAATGAGGTAGAGTCCGCCTCTCTGTCTCCATATCTGTCCCCCTGTCAGCACTGCATGATGGTGTCTGTCTATCTCCACATCAGTCCTGGCAGTCACTGTCAGCCCTGCACAGTGGAATCAATCTATCTGTCTCTGCGTCAGTCCCAGCAGTCAACAGGTGGCTCTGCATGGTAGAGTCTGTCTATCTGTCTCATCAGTCTTAGCAGTTAGCAGGTGGCCCTGCAAAGTAGAGTCTGTCCATTTATCTTGTTATTGGTCCCAGCAGTCATCATCCTCCCTATGCAGTGAACTCTGTCTGTCTCCATGCCAATCCTGACAGTCACTGGGTGGCCTTACCCAATGGAGTCTGCCTGTCTGTCTCCATATCAGTCCTGGCAGTTACTGGACTGCCCTGTACAGTAGAGTCTGTCCGTCTGTCTATTTGGCAGAGCATGGGTAGTGCCACTTGCCTCCAGGAAGTGCTGTGCTTGAGTCATGGGTGTTTTCCTCCATGTTTATGTTCTTTGCACTTTAGGTCTCCGAAAGGAGATGGAATGTTTAACAAAGGAACAACTGGAGACTAGGAAGCAGTCTGAGAAGGACCGTGCTGCTCTGCTCTCCCAACTGCGAATGCTGGAATCTGAGTTAGAGGAGCAGGTGTCACAGCACCAGGCATGTGCCCAGTATGCAGAGGAGGTCATTGCCCTGAAGCAGCAGATGGCTTCTCTGGACAAGCACCTGCGTAGCCAGCGACAGTTCATGGATGTAAGAGGTTGCATCTCACTAAAGATCTCTGTATTGAAATACCTTCATGTTTTTCATATTAGTGCCTTGGGGCTGCCATTGGGTCAAATAGTACATGTTGGGGGCTGGGGACTTACAGAATAGAAATGTATTCTGTCATAGTTCTAGGGGCTGGGAGTCCGACATCAGGATGTTGGCCTGTTGATTCCTTCTGAGGCTTTGAGGGAGAAGCTGTTCCATGCTTTCTCTATTCTTCTGATGATGGAAGTGATCCTAGGCATTCTTTGGCTTTCCAGATGCATCATTCCAGTCTGCCCCCATCTTCACATGGTTACCTTCCTGTGTGTCTGTATCTGTCTCTTCTCTTAAAAGCACACCAGTCACATAGGATTAGGGCCCATCAATTCCAGTATCATCTCACAATAACTGATAACATCTTCAAAAAGCCCTGTTTACAAACAAGGTCATGTTTACAGGTACTAGGGTGAGAACATTAACTTATCTTTTTGGAGGACATAATTCAATCCATGGTATGCCTCAAATAACTGTTTTTAACTTAATTTTGAGACAATTTCAAGCTTACTAAAAGTAGAAAGAGTAATACAAAATTCCCTATACCCTTTACACAGATTCATCCAATTCCTGAGCCAGTTACTGTTTTCCAGCTGGCTTTGCCTCAGTATTTAGGGATATGGATCATACACGTGCAGACATGTATTACTTTTTACTGAACCTTTGAGTGTGTCAGACAATCTGCCTTTAAAATATTAAATGTGTTTTTCCTAAGAACATAGGCATTTCCTTTCATAACCATAGTATTATTGTCAAGATGAGAAAGTTTAACCTACATATGGTGCTTCTTCGTAGCCAGTGGTCCACAGTCACACATCACCAACTGTCCCCATGGTGTTCTCAGTCTGTTGGCTCAGCAACCAATCCACAGTCCCCACCAGGCTCCATTGTTCCATCTCTCTAGCCCCTGCACCTGGAGCTGTTTCTTGGCTTTTCTTTATCTATCATGACCTTGGTGTCATGGAGGTGGAGACCCCTAGATTGCTGTGTACCTCACTTGGGTGTCTGTAATAGTTGATGGCTGCTTGGGCAGGAAGACTGGGGAAGGCACATGGCAGCTGCCTTGGTGTCATTACTGCAATCGACAGCATTAGGCTGATCACTTCATTGAGTGTTAGCTAGGTTTCTCTGTTACAAACTTACTGTCATAGCCTGTGAAATATTTTCCTTGGCATATAAATAATGCAGGTGCTTTAGGAAATCAGTTATCAAAATGAAGAAAATACAACCATACATAATGCTGCCACCATTGGATACTATCACGTGTAACGGAAGGCTGGGATTTTCCAGATCTCTTTGCTTACAAATCAGTTGCTGTCAAGTTGATTTCAACTCATGGTGACCCCATGTGTGTCAGAGTAGAACTGTGCTCCATAATATTTTCAGTGACTGATTTTTCAGAAGGGGATCACCAGGCCTTTTTTTTTTGAGACACCTCTGCATTCACTTGACCCTCTAACCTTTTGATTAGCAGCCGAGTGTGTTAACCATTTGTACCACCCAGAGATTACATTTTGTGCTTAAGTGGGTATATTAAAAAAAAAAAAAAATTTTTTTTTTTTTAAATAAAATGGGACAGTGCACTGTACCTCATGTTTTATGATGTGGGCTTTTCTTTGCCATCACCTGAACTTTCTTGTTCATTAAGGAAGTGTGTGCAGAGCGATTGTGAAAATGAATCTATAATATTCTCATTTTAGATCATAATCTTTCTGTCTACCTCTTTACATATCCCTTCTTATGTTCCTGGGAGGTGTCCTATAGGCATGCTCTGGGGCCCTGGGTGTACAGAGATTGGTGCTGCTTCCTTGAGGTGCTAGCCTGGGTTTCATTTGCATCTGTACTCTTGAGCAGTGCTCTGTGTGTCATTCCCTCTGTAGTCATCCGAGCTTCAGAGGTGGTGCTGCCCCATGTTTAAAGGGCCACTCCTTTGTATTTACCCTGATACACGACAAAAATGATGCTGACACAGTACAAGGCAGGCAGATGCTTGTGTAAAGTAGAGACTCAGAACTCAGCATGGAGGCACAAAGCTGGGGCAACACTGGGCAGGCCTTTCCCCTGACATCATGCCCCTCAGAATCCCTCAAAGGTGGGTAGACACGACCAGAGGATGGATAGACATACTTGCAGTAAACTGCCACTGCATCTGGAAATAGTCATATGGATGTTCTTATGATAGGAGCAGGCTGCAGAGCGGGAGCATGAACGTGATGAGTTCCAGCAGGAGATCCAGAGATTAGAGGGGCAGCTGCGGCAGGCAGCCCGGCCCCAGGCCCTGGATGCCTGGGACAGCCATGTAAGTCTACAGCCATAGATCGTGTGGGTGGGATGGTATGCTCTGAGATGCACATATAAGTCTTACTTTCTCTCTGTTTGCCTTTCATGTCCGTGAAAATGGCAGAGCATTCAGCCAAGTGAAGAGGTAAGGACAGAGCCTCGCTTCCCAATCACTCCATGGCCTTCATCCAACTGCTAGCTACTCACCACCCCCCACCCACCTGGTGTGGCTGTGCCAGGGACCTGTCTTATTTTGTACTTGTTTTTTGGGTGCTGTTTTGCTTGGGACTATAACTGTCTGCTTCCTGTTGTCTGACACGATACTAGTTACTTAGCTTACTCTTTTTTTAATTAATCCTTTATTTTGGGATGATTGTAAGTAGATCCCATGTACCCTTTACCCAGTTTCCCCCAGTGGTAACATCTCAGAAAAGTATAGTACACTATCACATCCATGATGTTGACACTGATGCAGTGACGATACAGAGCATTCCATCCCCACAAGGATGCCCTACACAGCCTTTTGTAGCCTTACCTACTTCCCTCCCATAGCCACTCCCTCCTTAACCTCTAGCAACCACTCATCTGTTTTCCATTTCTATAATTGTGTCATTTCAAGAGTGCTATATAAATGGAATAATGCAGTGTGGGACTTTTTGGAACTGGCTTTTTCTACTCAGTGTAACTCTTGAGACCCATCCATATTTTCGTAATTGTTCCACATACTAGTAGGCTGTTCCTTTTTGTTGCAGAGTTTGCTTAACCATTTACCTGTTGAAGACATCTGACTGTTTCCCAGATTTTGGCTATTACAAAAAAGCTGCTCTAAACATTTGTGTGCAGATGTTTGTGTGTACACTAGTTTTCATTTCTCTGGGATATTGCCCAGGTGTGCAATTGCTAGGTTGTGTGGTTGTTAAAAATTTAGTCTATAAAAAGACATCACCAAACTGTTTTTCAGAGAAGCTGTACCATCTTATACTCCAAGCAGGAGTGAGGGACCCTGTTACTCCACATCACTGCCCATAGGATATTTTGAAGTGAATCCCAGATATTCTATCAGTTAGCAGTTCTGAAATATATGAAGACCCTTTTTCTTCTGTTAAACATAGTCCAATACTATTAAACCCAAAACCACTGCCATCGAGTTGATTCCAACTCATAACAAGCCTATAGAATAGAGTAGAACTACCCACATAGGATTTCCAAGGCTGTAAATCTTTCCGGAAGCAGACTGGCTCATCTTTCACCTGTGGAGCTGGCAGTGGATTCAAACCATTGACTTTTTGATAAGTAGCCCAATGCTTTAACCATAATACTGCCAGAGCTCCTTACAAAACTATTATTGTCTCCAAAAAAGCCTTCACAGAAGCAGTAAGTCCAAACCCTTCATATGCATTGACTGTCAAATTTGGAAGGAAATCACACCTATGTGTTGCATTTGCTCTTATTTCTTTGAGTGTTAAACAGGTTTTCATTGGGCCTGAAGTGGGTGGAAGCAAAAGTGGCAGTGCCAGCTCACTTCTCAAATCTTTGTGCTGCGAACCTGCCCAGCCATAGCCTTCTGCTGCCAAAGTACATTTTACTTTCATGACAAATTGTACATCCTGTTAGTATTTTCAACTCTGTCTTTATTAAGGAGACTGCCCAGCTTAGTAAAGTCTCGTCTGCTTTCATTATGTTTCATTGGGCATTTGGTAGAAATGAGAGTCACTCTCTATCCACTGTGTTGTGTACTTATTATTTACAATATGTGTTTTTATTCCTAATAATCGTTTTAATTTCTCAAGCATTTTTTGTTGTTGTTTTAGGTTGAACTGTTACAAGAAAAGTTAAGGGAAAAATCAGATGGGTTTAATGAGTTGGCGGTGAAGAAGGAGATGGCCGACAGACGTCTAGCAGTACAGCAAGAGGAGATCCAGCGCCTCCAGGTGGCAGTCATCGAGGCTGGCAGGAGGGTGGCCCAGCTCCAGGAAGAACTGGAGACACAGAGGAGAATTGGAGAAGAGTTACAGCAGGTGAGCACCTCTCTGTCTTACTTGAGGGCCTTTATTTTCTCATCTGTGCCCATGCAGCAGGAGCTAAGGATGGTTGTGGGGCTGGGCTTGTCTGCTTTGAAGCTCATATTTACCCCAGTGGGGTTTACACCAGCATGTGAGGTACTCCTCCATCTCTCAGGTATGCTGAAATTTTCCTTAGTAAATTTCACAAAGTAAATATTTAAACCAAACCACTACTATCAAGTCAATTTTCACTCATAGTGACCTTGCAGAACAGGGTAGAACTACCCCATAGGGTTTCTAAGGCTGTAAATCATTATGGAAGTAGGCTGCCTCATCTTTCTCCTGCACAGCCACTGGTGGGTTGGAACCACTCATCTTTTGCTTAGCATACACATGCTTTAAACATGGCACCACCAGAGCTCCAAATATTTAAAAGTTTTTAAATTTAAAAACTTATTTTTGGCAGTTCTGGTAAGATGGTGGAATAGGCAGAAAGATAGCACAGACCCTCTTCAACAAAGAAAAGGGGAACCAATTAACACAGATACAGAAAATAATCCTGGAGCCTTGAAGGGAAGGATATAGAAGTGGACTAAACTCCAACTAGTAGAAGAATTTGCATGAAAACACCAAAAAGAGATATATGTACCTGAGGTTTGGCAGCCATCCTGATGGCACAGACAGCTTGGATATTGGCAAGTGGTGATAGGACCTAAGAATTAATGTAAAAATCAGGCATGCTATCCAGGGACTGCATGGAGGACTGCTCTGGTGGCTGGGAAGAAAAGGAGAAGCAGCGAAGAGGAAGGCGGGTTGAGCTGTGTGTGGACTTTTGTCTGTCTGTAGGGTGCGGCCATTTTGAATGTTTACAAGCAGCTTGACCATTTTGGATATTTAAAGCAACAGTGCTCTCCCAGATTCCAGGGACTTAAGAACAGTCTCCACTTGCCAGGAACTGCAGTGACATTCCGGATACGGATGATTGGAAAGGTTCTAGTTTTCAGCTTTTTTTCTTTTCCCTGTTCCTTGTTTCAATTTTTTTTCCTTCTTTCTCGTGGTTAACCCCGTTCCTTGTTTTTCTTTTTGGATTTTTCCCATTTTTTGTCTCCATTATTCTCCTTCTCTACCTTTTTCTCTTATTGCCCTCTCCCAGATATTACAGGTTTTTTTTCTTCCTCTTCTTCTTTTTCCCTTTTCTTGGTTACTGTTCTTGTGTGATTACACAGTGTATTTTTTGTCCATGTGCTTTTACTTTTTTGATGGTAATTCAATTGTTATTTTTGTCTAAGGGAGTCGAAAACAGCAACAGTCTCCATACAACAAAACGACACCCACACCTCCTGCAGCTTCACTTACTGAGTGAGGGCTACAACTTCCTTCTCCACCAATGGGCCAATGATAAAGAACTACCAAGAAGAGCCTGACTCACCTTTGGTTGCTCTTCACAAACAGTTAACAGAGATCTAAATACAACATTGCCATGATGTCTTGGAGACAACAGACCATCACAATCCACACAAAGATGCAAGATAAAGTGGTAGAAACAGGGAGTAGGATACAGACCCAGAACACAGCCCTGAGGAAGAAGCAGCATTGGAACTCTCCGATAAGGAATTCAAAAGAATTATATTTAGGTATCTTCAAAGGATTGAGAGACAGACCAAGGAAAACACAGACAAAACCCTAGAAGAATTTTGGAAGAAAATATAAGAACAAAATGACAAAATAAATGAAAAATTAGAAATGATTTTATATCTCCAGATAGAAATCCAGAAGAGTAATACTAATTTGATAACACAATCAAAGGGCAAAGGAGTAGAATTGATGCAGTGGAAGACAGAATTAATAAGATTGAAGACAAATTCTTGAATACTTCTTTGGAAAAAGATCAGTCAGAAAAAAGATCAAAACAAAATGAAGACAGCCTAAGGTTCATTTGAAATACCATCAAAAGGAATAACCTGCATGTCATTGGAATTCCAGAACAAGAACAGAAAAATAAAACCACTGAGAAAGTTGGCCAAGATTTGTTGGAGGAGAATTTCCCTGATATGATTAAAGACGAGAACATATCCATTTAGGAAGTCCAATGAACCCCAAACAGGATAGAGCCCAAAAGTAAATCACCAAGACATATCATCATCGAACTCATCAAAACCAAAGATAAAGACTCCTGAAAGCAGCACGGGGAAAAAAAAAAAAAAAACAGTTACTTACAAAAGACAACCAGTAAGAATAAGCTCTGATTTCTCAGCAGAAACCATTCAAGTGAGAAGGCAATGGGATGGTATATATAAAACCCTGAAAGAGAAAAATTTTCAACCAAGAATTATATACCCGGCAAAATTGTCCCTCATATATGATGGTGAAATTAGGAGATTTCCAGATAAGCAGAAACTAAGGGAATTTGTTAAAACCAGACCAACCTTACAAGACATCCTAAAGGGAGTCCTTTCAACAGAGAACCAAAAATAGCAAATAACAACCAACTGTTAATACACAAGATGACATAACCCAGAAACCACAGCTATGGACATATCGAAAGTAAAATGAGCTAACAAGATTATAAACAGGGAACCAGAGATATCAATTACCAAATGAGGACAACTGCAAACCAAAAAGGGAAAAGACTGTGTAGTCACAGAACTTCTAAATTGTGAGGAAGTCAAGAGAGTTGTAAGATAGAATAGACAATTCTAATCTTGGGGAGAAAATTAGAAATCATAGAGTAACCTCAAAGAAAAATAATAAACCTTCACATCACAATAAAAACGACAAGCACAAATGTTTTAATAGCAACAGAGGAAATGATAACACTATTCATAAACATCATGAGCTCAGCACAGAAAACCATATGGAACAAAGAAACCAGGGACACCATGAAAAAACACATAACAAAATGACAGCAACCAATTCATACTTGTCAATAATGATTGAATGTTAATGGATTAAATGTACCACTCAAGAGACGAAGAGTTGCAGATTGGATAAGAAAACATAACTCATCAATGTGCTGTCTACAAGAGACATAACTTAGAGACAAAGACAAAAATAGACTAAAACTCACAGGTTGGAAAATGATATATCAAGCAAATGGCATGAAAGAGCAGGAGTGGCAATATTTATTTCTGATCAAATCAACTTTAAGACAAAAACCACCAAACTAAACAAGAAATGACATTATATAATAATTAAAGGATTAATTGAACAGGAAGATGTAACCATAATAAATATTTTTGGACCCAATAAAAGAGCCCCAAAATATATAAATCAGACTTTAAAAGAGTTGAAAAGTCAAATAGATGACTCCACAGTCATAGTGGGAAACTTTAACACACCACTTTCAATGAAAAGATACAACAACTGGAAAGAAACTCAACAAAGATTCAGAAGAGCTAAACAGTACATTCCACCAACTTGGCCTTATAGACATCTACAGAGCACTTCACCCAACAACAGCTCAATATATATTCTTTTCCAGTGCACATGGAACATTTTCTATGACAGACCATATGTTATGCCATAAAGCAAGCCTTAATAAATTTAAAAACATTGAAATACTCCAAAACATCTTCTCAGATCACAGTGCTGTCAAATTAGAAATCAACAATAGGAAAAGCAACAAAAAAAGAGTGAACACATGGAAACTGAACAACACCCTCCTTGAGAAATACTGGGTAAAGAAGAAATAAGAAATGAAATTGAAAAATTCCTTGAATCAAATGAGAATGAAAACACAACATACCAAAATCTTTGGGACACAGCAAAAGCAGTGATCAGAGGCCAGTTTATAGCAATAACTGCACACATCCAAAAAGAAGAAAGAGCCAAAATCAATACTGTAAACCAACATCTCCAACAAGTAGAAAAAGAACAGGAAAAAAAAGCCTACAATCACCAGAAGAAAGGAAATATTCAAGATCTGAGCAGAAATCAATGAAACAGAAAATAGAAAGACAATAGAAAAAATCAAAAACACCAGAAGTTGGTTTTTTGAAAAGATTAATAAAATTGACAAATCACTGACAAATTTAACAAAGGAAAAGAGGGAGAGATACAAATAATACGAATAAGAAACTAAATGACACGAATAAGAAATGAAATGGGTGACATCACAACATAACCAACTGAAATAAAAGGATAATATCAGGATACTATGAAAAACTGTACTCCAACAAATTTGAAAATCTGGAAGAAATGGATAGATTTCTAGATACACACCACTTACATAAACTGACAAAGACTGATGTGGAAAAGTTGAACAGATCCATATCAAAAGAAGAAATTGAACAGGTTATAAAAAGTTTACCAACAACAAAAAAAGTCCAGGCCCAGAACTTTTCACCGGAGAATGCTAGCAAACATTCAGAGAAGAACTGACACCAAGCCTACTCAAACTATTCCAAAACATAGAAAAGGATGGAATCCTCCCTAACTCATTTTATGAAGTAAGCATAACCTTGATACTAAAATCAGGCAAAGACATCACTCAAAAGGAGTATTACAGACCAATATCCCTCATGCATAGAGATGCAAAAATCTTCAACAAAATCCTAGCCATTAGATTCTAACAAATATCAAGAAAATCATTCAATTATGACCAAGTGAGATTCATACCAGGTATGCGAGGATGGTTCAACATTAGAAAAACAATTAATGTAATCCACCAGATTAATAAAACAAAGAAAAAGAACCACATGATGATACCAATTGATGCAGAAAAGGCATGTGATAAAATCCAGCACCCATTCCTGATAAAAACTCTCAGCAAAATAGGAATAGAAGGGACATTCCTCAACATAATAAAGGGCATGTATGCAAAACCTACAGCCAACCTTATTTTCATTGGAGAGAAACTGAAACCATTCCTCTTGAGAACAGGAACCAGACAAGGATGCCCTCTATCACCACTTCTATTCAACATTGTATTGGAAGTCCTAGCCAGGGCCATA